AAAAACCTCTATATAATCATATTACTATTGAAATTTTATAACCACATCTATTTTATGTAAAACAAACAGCGTGACTATAAAGGAGGACGACTGTATAAATTATATGTAATACTACGTCATAAAAATAATGAAATAATTATAAAATAAATTTGCTTTCTAAAAATTTTTGTTAGCAAACCCCTTTTTATAATGGATACGCTTAAAAATACATATTACCAATTATAAAAATTAGTCTATACTAATAGTACTAATCAAAAGTTATACTCTTTATCTGAATCTAGTAATCTTTCTCAAATGATACATCGATTTAAAGCAACGATAGTATTTATAATAATCAGTCTGAAGAGGAGGCTTTCGCTTCAACTTTACTAAAAAAAAATCGTGGTGGACCTAAACTGGATCCAGTTTAGGAATATGTTAACATTGGAAATTATTTAGAAGACGTAACTAGACAATCAAAATAGAAATTCTTGCAAGTGAGGTTTGTGTGTGACCATGACAAGTTCTTCATGTAAGACAAAAAATCTTATCGTAAATGTTCTTCACACTACCAAGTCAATCTAAAAATATTTGCACCCAACGAAGCTCTTTGTCACAATTAAGACAATTTAAAATTCACTTTTTAAAAAGTACTTCTATGACGTTAATTGAACGCCTTACGCAACTGGATAAATTATCTCACACCAAATTACTTTACTATATTGTAATAGCAAATATTATGAGTATAACAATGTATAAGTGTATAATCCATTTAATAATAAATGCTCCTCTTGTAAAATTAAAAGGTTACGGCATATAGTTACGCACATAATAAAGTTCCGATATGATATGATATGGTTATATTGACATGTTGCAATAATACAGTATACATTTTATTACATGACGTAATTTAAAAACGAAACATTATAATGAGTTATAACTTAGTTACGTTCGGCATATCCCGATGCTTAAAGTTTCCACCATATCACTAGTTTATACACTGCATCTGCAGTCACGGAGCCTAATATTTGCTACTCCAGGTCCTTGCACTGCAAATGCAGCTGTGGAGCCTGACCTAAAAAACGGACAAGCCTAGAGTAAAAAACGGGGTGATGGAGCCAGCCTCTATACTAAGGTCATGTGAAAATATGACCTATAATTTCTATTGATAATGTACGATCTACGTAACAATCATGTGCAATCATGCAACTACTCTGAAAATAACATGCCTTAAAAGGATAAACCAAATTTATACATGTGACTGAATAAAGTCATCTGATCTCGCCCTATCGCTATCACTTCGTTGATAGACTTCCACAAGCTTAATTCAATTTAAGTAATGATTACGTTTGTGCCTGATTTTGATGTCGATATTATAATACGTAGCCGGAAATAACTTTAAGTGCACTTGACGATTTGTTGAGATTTGCAAAATTATATGAAATTTGTAGATCAAAAAACAAAGCATGTACCGGAATAATAATCCATTATAAAAGATTTTTTTTTAAAAAACGAAATCAGAAATCATCGATTCTTTTCTTTTTTTTTTGATCTGCAAATTTCACATAATTTTGCAAACCACAATAGAAAAATAAAAAGATAATTTTAAGATTTAATCCGATTTCAAATGCATTACTACGCTTTGCAAAAAAGATGCTGGAGATCTTACAGACTCTTCGAGATTTTAAGAATCATGAAAATTTTAAATAAAATATGTTGGACTTGAAGTGTCATATAATTATCTACATTACGATAATTATTCAACATTACGAGTTGCAAACTTTCTATATATTAATAAAAGGTTTGTGCAAAGTGTTTTGAATAGGGAGCTGTAACTAATTCTTTGAACCTTTGAATAATTACAAGGTGTTGTCATTTTACGAACATATTTCACATGTTCTTTCATTCAATTTGATTTATAAATACATGTTTTACAGCAGCGGTTCAATTATCATTACGTGGCACATCTGATAAGTTGCAATCAAAGCTTTGTTTTTGTAAGTCATTTCCACAGTACAAGCATTTTCAACAACTAAAACATGTCTCGACAATATGTTAGTTTGTTTTTTTTTGGCATTAGCCATTAGAAAATTAACAAACATATATATCGATTGATATGTATAAATATATTTTTTATAATAATAAATTACGTACTAAAGTATAATACTATATGGTACAAATGTCATGAATCGGCTAGGTCGGCTCCAGCCATAGTAATAGCTGCCGCAACAATTTGGGCCGGCAGATTCTCGATTTTAATTGGCTAAAAGTGACGATCAAAAAATTAGGCCGGAATTACTCATAATTTTACTAATAAAATCATAACCGCCCATTAAGTGAAAATTGTTCCTGGGTCAATTTTACCATAATGCGGGCTTATATTTTAAGAATTTCTATTTTGTAATGAAAAAATTAAAAACTTAATCCCGGCCGGAATTTAGTAAACAATTTTGTAATGTGGGCCAAAATTTTGAAGATCCTCGGCCGTTAGCCGATCAAAATCGAGGATCTGCCGGTCCAAATTTGTTACGCGCTACCACAAAAAATTGGTCATCACCTGTACTATTGGACAATCGAATTTCAGGATCAGGTGCAACGTAAAAATCGAAGCGAAACTACTTTTTTTACAAAACAAGAATAGCTCTAAATTTTAATTAGGAAACCACCTTCTGCGGCCTAATTAAAAATGTTTCTCGTGAAATTTTACCAGTAGCTCCGACTCTAACCATACACTGTTCTCGCCCTGACCCTAACCATAACGCGGTTTATTTTTACATGCGACTTTTTACTTAGAAAACAAAACATGTTTGTTTTGACTATCACATTACACTTGATCTTAATTTGATTTGCCAAAATTGCAAGGGGTGGCCAATTTTTGTGGGAACGCCACCAAAAATTTTAAACATCATACGTATATTTTCGCACCTCGTTTCGCCTTCTTGTAAGCCGTCGCTGGTATAAAATAATTATACCAATATTATAGTGCAAGTTAACTGTTTATATTAATGATAGACATTTTACAAAGATGTATATTTAGCATTAAACGATGAAAAACAAGCTCGGTTAATCTCTTAAAATTCCAAAAAACTATCAAAAACCATTATTTCAATACCCAAGCTGTTGGCAATTGTTTGTTCAGTGAAGTCAAATATTGACTTCAGTATGATGTTAAGTATAATTTGATGGGCTAGTAAACGTTGTTTGTTGAAGGTTCTCTAATTGCAAAGTTTCTACGAAAAAGTAAAAATCTCAAAAATTCAAGTGTTGATAGATTAATTTTAATAGATAATTAAAAATTTTTGTGAAAACACTATTTTCTTTATGTTTTAATTTTTTGGATCTCGAAAGAATGAATTTTTTTTATTGGAGGCTATTAGCAAAAACACTACCTTAACCTCCTTAAATATTCATAACATACTTCGGTATAAGAAGTAAAAGCATTAAAAGATGCTTTTTAAAAAAACACCACGTCAACTTCTTTAAAAATTATTAAAAATTCTATCGATATACAAGAAATAAAAGAATTAGTAGAATTCCTTTGAAAAAACACCGCACTTACTTATTTAAATCTCTCCTAATATTGTATAAGTTCTGAAAGAGGAAAAATATCTTTCATATAATAATATTAATTCCGAGGGAGAAAAAGCATTAATTAAGGCCCTTCGCTTTAATTTTACTCTAATCTCTTTAATATATATAAATGTAACATTGGTGATGAAGGTGTTATAGCATTAGCCGAGGTTTTACACGTAAACACTACCTAACATCCTTAAATTATGTCTCAACAAAATTGGAGATATATGAATATGTGTATTTCACAGGTTCTTCAACAAAATAATACTCTAAATTTTTTAGATATTCGCAATGACTATATTGGTGATAGTGGTGCAATAGCATTATTAGAGCATTATAACAAAAACATTCTAATTTTAAATATTGGCAATAATAATTTTAGTATTGTTGTATTTATTTCTTTGAAAAATTATGTTGACGTTAAAGAAAAAATATTAGTATAAACTCTGCAAAAAAAAACTAAGAATTAGTGATCCAAGCCGTTTAAATTTTTACAGCTAGGCTAACTATTAATTTTTAATGATTTAACAGCATAGCCAATAATTTATGTTATACCGAATCATAGAATGTTCATATAATACTTCATTCAAAATAAATAGCTTTTTAGATTCGGGTTTACTTTAAATATTCTAACTGTTTTATAATATAGAATTTTAAATTACAAAATTAAATTCATGGAAACAAATAAGTAATCAATCGAATAGAGATTTTTACCAAAGCTTATATATATTATACGTTAAATTGAAATTTGTGTCACATCAAATTTTCAAAACTGAGTTTAATTAGGGTTAGGATAAAACCCTAGTTTATTAGTGGTATTATAGTTATTTTGATCTAATGCAAAATTTTTATTCAACGTATAACGATAACAGAGATTTAAGTTTTGTAATTGTTTTTTTTTTTATATTATATTTATTTTATTTATATACAACTTTAATTAACATCATTAGCCTTATTAGCCGGCTGATTAGACTATCAGTTTGCTAAGCTACTAAGTGGCTGGCTAGGCGGCTAACTTAATCGGCTTGTAACACTAATAGGAATGTTCAATAAGATATTATGGTAGTTGAAGCTTCTACAAAAATATTATAACTTTAAATATTTATAAATATTTTATTATTTAATTTAGATTTGTAATATGTAGTTATATTCTCTTTTATTTTAGTTTATTATTTTGATTAGTTTATTCGATTTTTTTTGTTTGTGTTATAAAATTCATCGTTTATATAATAAAACTCTTATATTCTTAATGGTAATTAAAATATGGAAAATACAAAAAAATTTCTTAATAGTTATTAACAATTAATTACGCAATATGTAATTATGAATTTGAATAGCTTAATTAAATAAAAAAATAAGATACCGCAATATCAAATAAATGCCCTCAATACTAGATAAATAGATAAATGAAAATCTTATAAATATTTTAAAATAAAATACGCCAATTTTTATACAATGTCAAGCAAATCAATACCCAAATTATTTTTAAGCATTTCACTAGCTCTCATATGACCTTTCAAAGCTGCCAACTTTAAATACTTTAATCCCTTACTTTTGTCCATAATAACGTTCATCTTCCCATGTAAATAAACATCTAAATTAAATAATGCTGTCACATTTCCAATTTCTGCCGTTTCGCCGTATATTCCTTCGTATTTGGTAATGAAGATGCATGCCAGAATTTTGCATCAGTCACACCTTCATCGGCAGCCTTTTTGAACAATTCACGAGCATCTGATTGATCTCTCTCCTTTTGCTCGTCAGACCTTTTTGCGCCAGTTGGGTAAAGTCCTTCCCATAAATAATAACCCTTCCAAAAAATAGCGATAGAGCTCTTAAGTTTAATATTATCTTCAAAACATTTCCATGCTTTTTTTCTGTTCTCAGGCCTCTTAGATCTATGAAGGTTGATTCCTTCTTCAATTGTCAAAATCTGGTTTATACTTTGTCTGAAATTATCTTGTGAGCTTTTATGTGATATTAAGTCACTATTGACACAAGAGTCAGCAGTTGCCGAAGAATGCGCAATTGAAGACAATTTTGAAAGTCTCAAATATAATGTACTCAAGCAAATCCTTTCATCAGGGCAATTCTTCCATGCTTTTAAATAAAAAATTAACTGTGATTAATTGTTATAATAAATTAATATTTTAAATAATTTACTACTATATTAATTACCTAGTTCAATTAAATCTTTAAACTCATCTCGAATAACCTTATTATTAACATTATTCGGTTCTAGTTACTGAAATTATTAAAATTATCAAAACTTTCTCTGCCGCCATTTACGATATAAGTTAATAATTCATCATTAACATTTTGACTCTTATATGGAATTTTTTGACAAACTAATTCCCACATGAGCATCCCAAAACTGTATTAATACTAGATTAGTTAATATTGCGAAGTGGTAATTGAAATTTATAAATACCTAAAAATCTCACATTTTTGTGTGTACGGTTTGTAATAACTTGTTATTAATTTTTCCGAAATTTTCTCGGGTGCTAACCAACGAAGCTCATCATAAGATTCCAATAAATATTCTTTTGACATGTTTGCAAAAATTTGTTCAATATTTGTAAGCTTCGGCTCATAATTGTCTGTCATCTTTTAAATAAATAATATTAATATATTAATTATAAAATATTAAATAATTTTAAATAAACCTACCATCACATTCTGGCATCGAATATCATGGTGAAAAATACCAACAGAGTTTAAAAATGCAATTCCTTTACAAATCCCAAAAGCTATTTTCGCTTTTAATGCCCAAGTAATATTTTTTTCAGTTTCGTATAATGCTTTTAAATTACCTTTTTCACTTCGTTCAAATACTATAAGATCATCAAAATTTCTTAAATTTAAACCATAAAATTTTAAAATGTTTGGACAATCATTTAGGTTTGTTTGAATTGCAAGTTTACGATATAATTGCAATCGGTCTTTACTTTTATAAGTACATGTAATTGGTTTACAGTCGACATCTATGGAATCTTTATAAACCATTATAAGAGAGCCACCACATGGTAGTCCTGATAATCGATTAAATTGTAAACCTTGTACTTTTAGTAGATTAGAATCAATTTTTTGTACATCTATTTTATCATCGGAAACTTCGTTTTTGATGCATTCGATTTTTTGATAAATAATATTTAATTGCTTATAATAGGTTGAAAAATCATCTAAAAGCTATGTTTCAAAAAAATAAAAAGTAAATAAACAAACCAATGAAATAAATTAAATTAAAAATATTTTATTAATAAAATACCTTTTTTGTTTCTTCAATATCATTTTTTAGACATTCATCATCAATTCTTCTTTGCTCATCAAAATTAACAATCATTGTGAAATTCAAATTATCCATACAATTATCATATTCCTCCATCAGATTTCGGTAGTTCTTCTCTATTGCCTGAGAATTAACCCATCTATCGAGCCCCTCAATTGAGTTATTCGTTCTGCAAAATTTTTTATTTTATCTAATATATTTTTAAACGTATGTAATGATTCTTGATACTTTAAATTCGATAATTTTTCTCTAAAATATTCTTTATGCACTAGCATAAATTTTATGGCCATTTCTGCAGACAACATACGACCTAATATAGCTTTTAATATGTTTTTATTACATTGAGTTTTTTCGTCGATTTTGACTATTTCTTTAAAGATTTCAGAAACTACATTAAGCAAAGGGCTGAAAGTTTCTAATGAACTACTAATTGTAATTCCTATGTTAATTGTTTTAGCAACATTTGAGGCCATTCTTTGCGTTTCTATATTTTTTTATTAATGTTAATATGATTGACGTAGTCAAAATGTTAATTTATTCCTTTATATAAGTTTTGATCACATTGAATAACGATAACATTTAACTAATTTATAGGAAATTTCCATCTAACAAAGCTAGATATGGGAGCAGTGTTGTACGTTCGTACACACATGTGTACAAGGATATATAGTAGTACAATACGGTTATACAAGTTAATATGGACTTTTAAAAATAATTAAAAAGGTATTACTATATTCAGACGCATAGTTTATTAATATGATATATTCATTGATATCAATAATATCAAAGATTTAATTGTAAATTCCCCTTTAGCGAAAATTCCTTTTTAACGAAAAATACCCTTTATAGCGAAAATATTCTTTTAGAAAAATACTCTTTCGATTATTATTTCTTTCTTTCGAAATTCAATTAAAAAATAGAACCTGCTTTATTCAATGTCAAAGAGTTTCAAATTGAGTTAGTAAATCCCAAATATGAACAAGCATCAGTAATACGAAACAATCTATGTTTTTGTGGCATTGATTTTTTTTAGTCATCCCATAGACCATTTTTTAATACATTTTTTTTTATTTGTTAAAATAAGTAAGTTATACGATGAAAGAAATTTGTCCAAAATAAATTATTGGTACTAGAAGAATTAATAATAGGTCACAAATTTTTTATGATTAGGCCGCTCTAAATTGATTTTCTTATTTAACATAGCTCGAGGAGAGCATTAAAAAACACTATTTTACAAGGCACTCAAATCATCATTTGGTAGGATATAATGTGGTGTTTGTTATATATGAAAAATATAACGGTAAGTGACAAATAAGTCACATGGGACAGGCTCGATTAGGCCACACAAAGTTAATCATAACTTGGTGTTCCGAAATTCCAGTCGGCGGGTCGGGTTTAAAAAAAAAATTTTACTATAATTAATATACTCATGCTCATATTAAGGCTACGCAAGTTAATTTTCGTTTTGCATAATAACATGGAATCAGAAATTTTGGAAAATTTGTTTTTTATTAAACAGATCTGTCGGGTTATTCCGGAAAATTGAGTTCATCTATCAGGTGATATCGGATACGTAAATCACGGGGAAAATTAAATAGCAAAAATAGAATAATTGTAACAATTGGAACTTAAAAAAAAAAAGTTTTTTTAAAAAGTGGTTCGCCGGGCTATGAAAACGAAAAATTAACTTTTGCGTGGCCTTAGGGTGTTCTCAAGTGCCTTAGTCAATCGATCGGAATAGGGTCGGGGGCAAATTTTAATTAATAAAAAATTGGGTTT